CCTCATCACTAGAAAGGTCTCTTCATACAATTCTAATGCATAAGTGAACGATGGTGAAAGGCCATCAAAAGAGACCACACTCACCCCTAAAGTAGGACGACTTCTTTCCACATGCACATGTCAATAAAGTTGCCCTACTTATCTTGTTATTTTTTTAAAAAAATATGATCCTTCTAGCTTTCAATGTTTTAGATCAATAAAATCATATTTGATTTTGTGAAACCAAGCATCAAATGCGTGTTAGAATTTTTCCTTGATATTAAAAGATCATCATTAGGTAATGAAAAAAATCCTACCAAGTTCAATCTAAAAAAATCTATATAAAAGGATCAAATTGAAAAAAAAATTAAGAAATAAAAAATAGAGGGATAACTCTCTCCCTTGACTATGCAATTCAATCCCTTATGATTGCAAAACAAAAAAGGCTCACTACTTGTTTATTATTCAAATTAAATCTTTATTTATTTAATTATTTTAATTCAATTTTATTTATTTATTTTTTAAATTGAGCATCAACAAAGAATTGGTTTTCTTTCATGACATCGCAAGTAGCAAAAACAAGGCCACACAAAACAAATAATCAAATCTAATATCAAATTAATCCAATGTAAAAGGATCAAACAAAAAAAATAAGTAAAAAAAATACTATGATAATGAACAATGTATCACCTCATAATTCTAGTGTTTTTTAATAGATAGGTGGCCCGTGATATGCCTTGGGCTAGACCAAAGTCTCTTTTAATGTTAAAAAAATTTAATGTGTTGTTAGCTTGTTTAAAGAAAATAAGAAAAAATTATATGTCTCGGTTCATAAAACCGACTAAATTCAATAAGTTATCTTTATTTAATTATATAATAAAATAGCCACAATATTAAATAGACTGTATCTTTTTTTAAAAAAAAAAATTCATCATAATGACGTGTATAAAAAGAATGATCACCAAAAAAAGTAAAATCACGAAACTCAATTTCTAGACAACCCAATGATGAATGAAGAAATTGAAGAAAAAAATAGAGTTACAAATGAACAAAAAAAAAGTTATTAGTGTTAACCTAGAATGTGAGGTTAAGATAACTCTATAGAAAATAATTAGAAAATATTTATGATGTAAATTCCCAACAATCCAAATGTAAAAGTGACTATATAAAAAAATTAATTAAAAAAATAAAATTAAAACATATAAATAAACTCCAACAAGTCCACTAAACCCCACTCGCTTAATCATGTGAATGGAATAACCTAATATATAAAAAAACAAATAGAAATATTTATGAATATTAATTCTCAATTCATCAAAATGTTGAAGGACACAACTAAGAAAAATAACTTCTAGTCAACCTTGACCAACCAACAAACTCATGATTTATATCATGAGATTGGGTTAGCTCTACAAGAAGAAAAGCAAAGAAAATCATGAAATCCAATTTTTAACAAATCTAATATTGAATGATGAAACTAAAAAAAAAATGTAAAAAAAGATATAAAAAAACAATATCAAACCGGTTTAATATTTCAAACTCATGATTTAAATCATAAAGCCTTGATCACCTCATAGGAAAAATTATGAAGCTTAATTCTAAAAAAAATCAAATGTTGAAAGATAAATTGAATTTTTTTTTAAAAAAAGACCCAAATAAAAAAGTCAAAAGAATAAAAATTGAAACTTACATAAAAAAATAACAAGACACCTTTTAATCTTAGCTAAGTCAACGCGAATCCCATATAGATAAGAGAAAAGAGAGAGGGGGAAGGAAAAAATACCTTTGCCACCTAATTATCGATCATCATCGGTCAACATCCACTACCCTGACATATAGACCTCAACATGACACTTTAGATGATACAGTGGATGACATGGAAGCAGACCATGTGCACTACTTTAACACAACGAGCCTCCTTCGCATAATGACGAGTGTGATCCACAAACCAACATGTTTTACTTGTATGTCCACTCTAGTCTATTATAGTTTTTTTTTTTTAATTTTCACCACTAAAACTTATTTTTTTTTTATTAATGTGATTTTATTTTATTTTGCAAATTCAAGCTTCAAGGAAGTGCTTGTAAGTGCTAAAGACTTTGCTATAACACAATATCTAGTCAAGAAAAGACAAGCTACAATGTTAAATAACAAATAAAGTCATATAAATGTGTCAAATTAAAAAAAAAAAAAGGTTTAATGATAGAAAAAAACAAATAAAGTCAATATAAATGTGTCAAATTAAAAAAAAAAAGGTTTAATGATAGAAAAAAACTTAAACTTTTCTCTTTATTATACAAATTAGTCGGTGATATTTTTATGAACCCATATTACTAACCACCATAGACATAAATTTTAAATTAGTATTTTTTGTTTTCAGTATAAACACATTCTTATAAAAATATTTACACGTTACTAAACATAAATTTGAACGCCCATGTCAGGAAAACTGGCTGCTAGTAAGTTGAATGCAGTCTAATATCCCTCCCTCATCATGATTTTTTATACATTCCTGTCATTAGTATTTTCATCTATCCATACACCACGTACAAAAGGCATGCTTTATTAATTTTTTTAACTTATCAATTTTGGCTCCCAGCAGCTTGGCACGCTACCGTCTCTGATTCTGTCAAAGCTTATGGCTGCTGAGCCCGTTTGAGAGTTTGGGACTGCGATAAAAATAAGATGGGGTAAGGTTTATTTATTTTTGTTTAAAATTAATTTTTTATATTATTAAATTATTTTGAAATTTTAATGTCAAAAATAATTTTTAAATAAATATAATATTATTTTAATATATTTTCTTAACTAAAAACATTTAGAAAATAATTGCTATGGCACTTCTAAATACCTCTATATCTTTACAGGAATGGATTTCATTCGTTGGGTTGGTAACGTTGTTTATCGGCAGCGTATAATTGATTCAGGACAGGTGAATTTGTACTAGATGTTTTATTTTATAGGATGACAGTTTAAATCATTGTCGAATTGAATATGGTTCCCTACGCGAGGTGCAATTGCTGAGAATTAATAGTTTTAAAAGGTGATACATAAAGGTTGGGAAATTCCCATTTGTTATTACAAGTGCCGATGGTAAAATTGTGTATATTATAGCACAACGTTCTTATCAAGACTTTAAACTAGTACAAGTTGCTACCATTTTCGTATATTTATTGTTTGCAAAGGCATGTACATAAATGTTTTTTTGTTTTGTCTTTATGGTTCGATGCCTTGGTCGAAGTTAGAAAGCAGCCAGGAAACTGAGGAGATAATGTATTTTTCACACAAATATTCGTAATTGAACCCACCAACTCCTGCCCCATGGCATTCAGTGTCCATCATGAAAGCCACTGTTAGCAAACACTTGTCGTTTGATTTTGATTGAGAGGCAACCCAACCAACTCAATTTGACTTTGCATAAAGAAAGCATGGAGCTTTCTTCTCGATTCAATTTCTTTACGACAAGATAAACTTGAAGGAAAATTCGCTCTCTAATCCGAATACTTCTCCTCCAAGTTGCATGGCACTGTTATTTACAGTGACAATTCACAGATCCTCCAATGACAGTGGATAATCAAATCAAGGTAAATCTGAATCAAAAACCTGTCCTTCCAATTATATGGAAAGTACTGAAAGAGAATGCCCAGTACTTGGTTTTAGCCACAAGGCTTGACTAGTTAAGATTGTACTGCCTATTTGCACGACAATTGTACAGCGTAAAAAGCCATGGTTTCTTGAGCTGCAATCTGGCCATTTAGGTGGGAATCTACAGCACAACCACAGAAAGAAAGAGCAAACGTCTGCTCTGATGGATGGTGATACGTGTTCCTTTAACTTGTATTATTAAGTGACAAAGACAACACTGGTGCTTAAAGTCCACAGGATGAGCCCTGTTGTTTAGCTAGCCTATTTCAGTGAAACGTAGACATAGGTGATCAAAAATATAAGTCAAGAATCCCAGCAATTATTCGTTTCTGTGCTCTACCAACCCAGAACTAGAACCCAAGCAGGCCACCTCATGCCCAGAAATAATCTCCTTTTAGTTGACTAGGATCTCTGCTTGAGAAGAACTTGTCACCACCAAGTTCTATGCGCTCGATGTTCTTAAGATGCCACGATGTTTTACCCTCTAAGAATCCTCAGGTGTTTGCATTGTAATTAATTAACGGAATCAGGACGAAGATTATCCAGTTACATTAACAGGTGGCTACAAACACCCCATGAGAACATTGGACTATTCTTTTATAAAGAATGATGAAGATGATGTACCAAGCTGAATGCTAATCAGGGATGGTAATTTTTTCGAGAGGTTATTTCCATATATATATATAATGGATATTTAGGATTTAATGAATCGGATATAGATATTTAAATTTTTTATTTTATAAATATATAATATAAAAATTGATTTTAATTTTGGATATCAATACAGATATGATTTAAAAAAAAAAAAAAAACCATCTCATGGCACCACTTACTTTCTCTAGCTCTAACTACAGAAACAAGACGAATGAAATCTATATAATCCATCATATTGTTTTTGTAAGCCCAAAGCCCAGATATCTACTCCTCAATCATCATATCAATTGGGTCTTCCATTAGATCATGACTTTGTATGGACAAGTACGAGAATTGATAACGAGCATTTTTATTATTATTATTAATCTGAATATTTGAGTTAGTTTATATATATATTTTAATTAATTTATAAATTTATAAATTAATAATTATATATATTTTAAATAGTTTTAAAATTGATAAGATTAGAATTAATAATTCTTATAAAATAATTTAAAATTTTAGTAATTAAGTTACACTCCTCATAATTATTAATAATTACATTACGAGGAAGCTACTATTATAAGGTTAATGGAAATTTTTTGTAAATCAGTCTATTGATTTTCAATGCTTTCATGTATGATTTACTCTACACATCTTTTTAATGTTCAAAATTTGTTGTAAGATCTAAGTTTTATTGTTGTTGATATTTGTATATATAAGGACGGTTCAAGTCTGTATAGCCCTAAAAAAAAACGAAATAAAATTCAAATACAAAAACAAAAATTGTATAGTTTTTATTTCTTCATTATGGTATTGTTTGTTGTTTGTAACTAGCCGCTTGCAATTGCTTGGTTTATCAAAAAACAAAAAAAAAATAAAGTATTTTCATTAGCTTGCTCGCTGGAATCATTCGAGATAGAGTATAAAGCTGAAATAAAAAAAAAAAAGGTACACTTCAATAGACCCAATCATTATTTTTATTTTATTTTATTTTTTTTTTCTTGTCTTTGTTAAACAAACCCAAGTTTCTTCTTTACTCTTCCTAAGTCAATTACATATGAATTTTTCCCCTTTCCTATCTTTCCTATCCGTAATCAAAAAGAGTTCAAAAAGAGTTAGTGATACTTCTTTTCTTTGTCTTTGGGATACCTGCCGAAAACTAATGAATTTTTGGAGTCAAAATCATGACACGAACTCATTTACTAAATTTCATCGGAAATAGGAAATACTTATACAAATAAAAATGGGGGAGAGAAAAAAAATTTGCGGGTCCTTTGTCTGCTTGGCTATATACACTTGATAGCACATTATTTAAAAAATTTAATTGTGCATACTTGATTTTTAAAGAACAAAAACACTACAAATTATATCACATAATATAATATTTTTATTTAGACAGGTTTTTATTAAAAAAATAATAAGAGTGTGATTGAAACATAATTCTATGTTAGATTAAATTTTTAAATGATACCATCTTTTGTTTAGTCAAAATAGAAATAATTTACAATAAACATACTGTTATTTTTTATTTAATTTTGTAAAAACTTATCTTTAATTTCTCTTCCATTAACTTACATGGTTGATAACATAAGAAGAATTAGATTCAATAACACTTGGCTTTAGGAGATTAATAGTTTTTTTTTTCTTTTTTTAGTTATTACCAGCTTATCAATCCATTTGTCAAGATGCTGGGGCTTTATAGGTTTTGCTCTAGTTCTATATAAGATAAGTAACTTGCCACATATGTTTATAAAAAATTAATATGATTTTTCAATACATAAAGCATTTTTGTAGAAAATATCCCATAGTTCTTAGAAAGAAAATGAATGAGAAGTTCTCTTTTCTTTTGTCCTTTTTAATCTACTTATTTGTTGCTTTTAATGGAGTATATCAATAAATCCATGTCAATAGATTTACGTCGTTGAGTTTATTACTAGGATGATTATTAGAGTTAACTAGTTTATTGATGTAAGGGATCAATTATTTTTTAAATATAAAAAAAAATCAAGAATGAGAAATTTTTTTTGTATTATTATTAAATTTGAAAATACAATTTTTTTTAAACTTACATTAAAATATTTTTTTATTTATATGTCTCTTATTTATCTTAACAAACACAAGGTTTTTAACTTGAATTATTTTATACATTAAAAAAAATATGATTGTTACAAAAACGTTAACAAGAAACATCAAAATAATATGACTTGAGATTTAAAGCTAAAAAATAATAAATATAATAAAATTATTTTCAAAATCTATTTTAAAACTTTAAAAATAAAAAACAATTTGAATCAAATTTTCATGAATTTTTTTTTATTAGTATTAATATTTTATATTATATAAAATAATTAAAAGATATTAAAATTCAAATTAAAATTTATAAAAAAATTTAAAAACCATGTCAAATGTCAAATTAAAAAATAAGTAAATCTGATAATTATTTTAATTAAAAAAA